CCAGTGAAGCCTTCAACAGTGATTTGTAGTGGTGGAAAACCCCCACTCAAAGCTTCCCTGCTGGTATCTAACCGTTGGTGATTGCCCTCTTCTCTGTGCTTTAACTTAAAAGGTATAACAAAGATGTTATCTTAAAACACTTAAAGTCCCCACTTGGGTAAAAACTGTGATTACTGTATATACACATTTGAGCATGAATATATAAGAACAAATGTTTTCATCTTGATTACAACACTCTGTATTCTTTGACACAGCTTTGTCAAATTAAAAAGTTGGCTCAGTGATTTTAATTAAAACAATCTTGTCAACACAATTCAAACTGCTTCCATGTTTTGGAGCTTTTGGTAAAAATGACAATAAAACATTTCAATCTGTTATTTTTTTAGTTTTTCGAATAGTTGTTAATGGTGTCAATGATGAACATTTTTCTATGTTTTTTGAGCTTTGTGGTAAAACAAAAGTAGTTACTCAGTATTGTTTTAGAATAGAAACTCAAGTTACGTACAGTAGGATTTGTTTGTTTGTCAACAATATTAAAAAATGTTTACAAAGCATTGGACCATGCTAACCCTAACCCTAAAATGTCTCAAAAGGAAATGCATTTATTTTGAAACGCTGGAAGGAAAAGACCTGCATGAATGCAAAAACCAAAGAGAGCAAATATAGCCACATGTAAACTCTATTTTTAAATGTTTACTGCTCATTTCAGGTCAAGTGGAAGACACGGTACAGTACGTGAAAGAAAGAGAAATTGCCACCGGGCAAAGGGAAAAGGGCTCGCTTTGGTTTTCTATAGAAGGCAACAATAATGGACAAAACTCACCGAAGCTTTCTCCAGACTGTAGCAGGATACAGCTAAGAGCCAGTGTAGGCTCTGCGAGGACACGACATGTTCAAATGCCCTAGGAGGCTCCATTACTTACAGTGGCCAACAGTGATGCCGGCATCTTTGCCTGGTTTGGGGAAAACCTGAAATAGAGAATTTCAGCTGTGAGAAACATTGACAGACAACCTTAGAGTGTATCAAACATGAATTTCCCAGTCTCCATTTATCAGCCCGACAACACTATCACGCTGCTTCAAAGGTCACCGAGAATCAGACGGCGCGCACTTACCGGGCTACCTGATCCGGCCAATCAACCACAGGCTTTTTTCACACGGACGGAGATGAGATGGGCTTTGTGTAATCAGCTGAAAGAGGCTAACCCTCAGCCATGTCAGACCTTCTTTTTAACCTTTCAGATAAGAAAAATCTGCTACCCTTCCACAGCATAGGAATTTAGCTTATTTTGATATGATGCTGCTCAGAGCATTTCATGATTTATTGGTATACTGACCAGGTTTGAGCACTTCCATATTGTCTAGGGAAAAGGTGGGTTAATGTTGATCATTCAGCTTTAACCAGTTATGAGTGTTCTCCTTTTAACCAATGATATCATTTTCTAAAAGTATGGGATTTATAGTGATGGTTGGACGGTAGAACAATCACCAGAAATAACTATTTCAGGGCGATTCTGTTGGTATTTCTCTCGGACTCTTTTAACCTCTTCAAAATATATTCACAGAGGATTCCATGGTGTTGTCTGGTTTCTGAGGTTAGGGTTAGATGTCAAGATTTTTTTTTTGGCCACTACTGACGTTCAATTCTGCGGACTTCTTTCTGTGGATTGATACAACGGCACTTGCTTGATCAAAGCGTCCTTAGCAATAGGCTGCTATCGAAAAAGAGCTGACTGCTATATTTCCAAATCGACCAATCAGAATGGAGTATTAAACTGAGGCGTGTATATAATTATCTCATGTCATTAGCAGTTGCGAAAAGGATCACAACCAATGTGTTACCTGGCTACAGGTTTGAACGTGTGATGAATAAGCACTGGTAATTTCTTGACAATTGTGTTGACGTGAGCCCCACGAGGGTGTGTGATCACTGGAGGAGAAAAGTAAAAGATAGCAAGACCTCATGTCCTGGAAACTGCTGTGAGCCGGACTGTGAGCGGGCCTGTCATGTTCCTCCAAGGCAGTGATGGCATGATGTGTGCATCTGAAGTGACAGGTGGCTGAAGCAAACAGATCTCCCGTCCCTGCTACACTGGCAATAGACTCCTTTGTTGAGGGTATTTGGTTCACTCAGAACCAGTCGACTGCATTCATCAAGTTTACTTCCAGAGTGCGTGGGTGACAGCACTGTCTCCCGAAAGTTTATCAAATGAACACCAAGTGGTTTACTAGGAGCAAGTGGGCTGCATTCGTCAAGTATACTTCTTGAGTGTTTCTGTGAGGGGCTTTCTTCCTAAAGTTTAAAAAATAAACACTTACATTGAGATGTAGGTTGTGTGGCCACTGTTTTTTAAGGTTTCCGCATTTGCCTGTCTTGTTTATTGGGAAGAACTGTGCCCTACATTTTGACGAGAGGCCAAGTATCAGGAACTTTATTGATGTTGTTATAAAATGTTAAGCCAATTGACCACTTTGACTCGACGGAATGGCTGTAACTGACTCGATTTGGCTCCATTTGTTATTCCTACTAGAGGCAATATTTGGCATTGGGTACTTTTTTTTTTGTACGTCCACATCTGAAGTAAAAGCTAAGCCAATACTAGAAAGTTACCTTAAAACACTGCAGATCACGGATTGGTCATAAAAGATTGTCACTAGTGCTACAAGGGACATTCTGCACAAACCGAGTGTTATTTAATTCAAACTACCGTATACATACACTCAATTATTTCCACTCAACCCAGATTTCAAACAACTGGCAGCAATCAAACTATGCCATACACAACTCCTTACTATTGAGAAAAAGCAGAAAAAAAGATTTAGTGAGTCTCCCATTAAACTAAGGGTTCAAGTGCACTAATGGAGACATATGTACACACTTCCCAGGAGTATGTATAATACAAAGAAAAGAGGAAAGTTCCTCCTTTACCAGCTGCAGCATGTTACAGCCACAAGGAGACATACAACATTTGGGGATCAGTTTGTGACCCACAACATAAATTTGAGGTGCAAAACCCCAAGAGACACGCAATACTTTTATTTACAATTTAAATCAAATTAAATCAAACTTAGCAAGTATTAAGGAGGAAAGGGGAGGGCGTAATACAGCATTAAGTAGAATTACACTCAATTTCATTAATAATTATAACTCAATAATGAAAAATATATTACTCTGAAATGGGCCAATGTGCAGAATAAGTACATTTACTTCTGGTACCTTACTAATTATTATTTGGTGCTCAAATGCTGAAAGCAGGACTTTTAATATTTCTACACTGTGGTATCTCTACCTTTACTAAAAATAAGCGTGTTACAACACCCAGCAGTGATGTCAAGATTATAATCAAATGTATGTCTATGTTTCATGTTTTATTTCTGGGGTGAATTTGGATACATTCGGTAAACTGACGTTGCATTTTTTTTTACAGGTTTTGACAATGTCCTCACACCTTATGATTGTGACAGTGTGATCACATATCCCAAGTGTCTCATATTGCGGTGTGTGTTTGTTGTTTCTTATGATGCTCTCTGTGGACCGTGTTGCTATTTTGAGGAAACCCCAGAGAGTCTAACCACAGGCTGTCAGAGTCCGCTGAGTGTGATTTTGTTCTTTCTCACTTTGGGCACTGTGATTGTAGTCCTTCGGTCGGTAAAAGGTCGGTGAAAGGTCCAGATTACAATCATTACTGTGAATGTGTTTGGATGTTTGGATGAGTGTTTAAATGTCTTTAACTTGTCAGTTACAGTCCAGCTGAATGGGGTTTATTTATTTTTGGCCATCTTACTGTGACTGAAAGCAATTTTCCCAGGCAGCATTGTGGCAGAGGAAACCTTAAAGTATAGTAATTGAGAAGACAGCGAGGATGACCCGAAATAAGATCTGTCTAAGCTGTATCTCAAACTGCCAGAGCCTGATTTTCTGTAAAAAAAAGTTGTTAAATATTGCAAAGGGTGCAGAAACAACTACAGAATGAACCAATGAGACATGTTAATATTACCATTATTTTTTTAAGGGTAAATCAGCAGCTACTTTAGCACCAACAGCTAACCTTGTAAAGTAACCTTCGATGTTCCAATGTAAAAAAATGCAAATAAGCATACCAATGTTTATTTTGTTTAATTTCTTTAGACTTTTTCTTTTTTTTTGACATAGAAACAATGCTGGAATCCTCACTGGAGAACAACTAGTCTTTCTTCTGGAATTACCTCATCATACAGTACAAGCTCAACATTTATTATTAAATGTCGTCTTCATTAAATATCTAATGCTATTGAATAATTTTTTTCTCAGCCGCTTGTATCTGGTAGTTGTTTCAGTATAATCCATGTGGTGAGGAAGAATGTGTTTAACATTTCCAGCATGATACCATGAATTGTGGAGGGTCAAATTATTTTCAAACACACAGAGGTCCACACAGAGTTATGAACGGTTACTTTCTGCAAGCCTACATAATTGATCCACTTGAAACCCCAGACTGCTGGACTCTTCTTGAGTTTGAGATATGAAAATCGTGTTCCCATGCCCTTACTGGATGTTGGTACTGGTACAGTCATTTCTGATAGGTTGCCAAGCTTAAAGAAAGTGGGGATGAACTCCATTCAGAAGACAATCCTTTTTAAAAGCACAAAAATACTGACAAAGCATTCATTATCATACATTGGCATCATAATGTAATTATTTTGCCACCTTTTTGATCGGTTTATTGCAATAAAATCACACTGTAAATCAAATGTTGGCTTCATACCTCTGTAGCAAACCAGATGAAACCAGCCACGCAAAATAATGCGAACAAAAACAAATAAGGACAAGGTGCAACAATATGATAGAATGAAGGATTTCTCTGTTTATTTTCTTACACTCTACTCCTTCCAGGGCACAGGAACCATCTACAGGTTACATTGAGACTTGTCACAGAAGTGCCCATAACTAGGTTTTTGTATTGTTTCCTTGTAGTACAGCCTACGATGCAATATATTCTCAAAAAACAAGACATCACAACTCTCATCTTTAGATGTTTATTTCTGATATCATCATCAACATTTTTACAAAACATTTTCTGACAATAATATACTCAAAGAGGAGCCATATTTTTGCGCTTGGACCAGGTCTCCACAAAAATGCGTTAAGTCTGAATACAGTAAAAAGAACAATAATCCAAATAAGAAAAAAAAAAACCTCAACAACAAACCAACTACCAAAAAAGAAAACCCAAAAAGAAAAACAATGCAGCGCATATTTACACCCTGCAGAAACCAATGCTCTCTGCAGGAAATGAATGAGAAGGAGCGGGGATCCCCTGGTTTGTATGGGAAGCTTGGCAGCTTAAAAGAAAAAACAATCTGGAAAGTGCTTTTAGCCTGTAAGCCTACGAAGAATAATTCTGATATTGCTTCTATCAGTTTCCCTCTGCTTTTCTCTCTCACTGCACTCTCAATCCAACAGCAAGACTAGAATGCAGGCCATTTAAATAAAAAAAGCTTCCTTTTCTACGGTGCTCACATTAAATACAATTAGGGGCGTAAAGGGGGCTTTGTCAGACAAACGGAAAAGTGTGTATCCCTGACAGAGGTTAATGATCATGCCTTCACTTTCTGTGTTCCCTCTGACATGAGCAATTGCAGAAAAACAGAGTCAGGACAATGTGGGTCACAGGTTAAAGACTTCCTGCTAATGTGAAACAGCGTGGAACACTAACAATCAATGGGGATTGTGTTGGCCTGAACATCAGTAATGGTGGCGTTGGTTCAGAGGAGGTAGAGGACAAGGTGCTGCTTTAGACACACACACACACACACACACACACACACACACACACACACACACACACACACACACACACACACACACACACACACACACACACACACACACACACACACACACACACACACACACACACACACACACACACACACACACACACACACACACACACACACACACACACACACACACACACACACACACACACACACACACTCGCAGGCCATTTGGGTACATGCGGGGTAGCTAACTAACTAGCAATGCATGGAGTCTCTGTTTTCTACCTTTCAGCATGAGAAAGTTATTAATTCTTACCACTGTGCAGTCTGCACACACACCAACGGCACACAAGAACTTAAATTAGGAGTCTAGAAGTGGCAGATGGGAGAATAAGCTTACTTTTTTTCATATTTCCCTGCTTAGCCCCCCTATCTGCGTGTTTACGTACTGACTGTGAGTTGTATGGGTATGCCCCGATGCCGCCTGTGGGTAAGACACAGATGTATGTTAAAAGGAAGAAAAGCTGCAACTCCTCGTCTGGCTTGGAATTAATTTGTTCAAATCTATTTATGAGGTAATGGAATAGAACCTACTGAAGCGTTGCAGATGGCCTTGGGTGTTCTGAAATGGATGGGAGCGTCAAGAGCTGCAGTACGTTATTATCATCTATCAAGGCGCTTGTTGCCCTTTTTCATGGTTATTTTGTTGGTGTATGTGTATAAATGTTAGTTTTTTCTGCAGTTTAAAACAAAATACAGAGGTGCAGTGATGACGTTTTTTTGTAGGCCATACCCTAGCATCGCAAGAGGTCCCTTGACAAAAAGCAATGGGATTTACTGATTGGATTTGCGTATATCAAAGCAAACAATCTGCGTACAGTTTAGACAATTAGAGTTGATTTGATTGTGGGTTCTTATTCTGTCCGTGTGCCATATGTATACTTATGTGTATGACACTGGTATCCAAGATTGGCTAAAGCAGTTTGTGTCACGTCTCATGTTGGAAATAATGCTGACTGGGACATTCAGAAACGTCACAGTGCCTTCATTCTAATGTAATATGTCCTTGCACTTTGCCTTTGTCCCTGTACTTGTTGCTAGTACTCTAAATTGCACAACATCTCTTGCTCCCTCCCTCTTTTTTCCTTGGAGATTTGCATTTAGCTTTTCCACTGCGTATTAACTGTGAAATATGGAACTTTTATCTGCAAATCCTTTCGAACTTTATTCAACTCCCCAGAAGCAAAAATAAAAGAGACGGGTAAAAAAGACAAATGTTTCCAATGGGGACCAAACGTAAAGACTGGAGGATGGGGGGTGCGGGGGGGGGGGGGGGGGGGTGGTGGATCTCGGGGTGTACCAAACCATAAACAAACAAGGCAGAAGAGAAAATAAAGCCTGTTGGTGGGGCTAGCGCAGACAGTCCTGGGGTTCAGCTCAAACATGCATCATTAGCATGCAGCGCCTGTGCTTCCAGCTCTCTGATGGCGAAAAAGAAAATGGACGAAATAATTACTGGCAGCCGGATTGGAACATTCTGCTGAACATATACGATTTTATCTGGGCGGAAATCATGATTAATCAATTGCTTATTAGTAGTTGATTTAATTGTGAATAGACAAAGGTTTTAATAGCCTTTCCTAATTACACATGAAGGTAGCTTTGATCATCGTGTTTAGACTGAATTGAACCATTATCACTGCTGAAGTAACTACTACATATGGGGCACTGGGCTTTAGCAGGAGACCAATAAAAAAAAAGAAAAAGGGAAGGCTGTCCCGGGAGTGAAGGCCCGACTCAGGCCTCTTTTTCCGGCTTTTATTGTACCAGGGAATTCTACTTTAGGCGAGAAAGGGGCAGGAATGGGTCAGCAAACAGTGAAGTCCTCCGTGACACGTGCTGCTGGTTCTAGGGCATTCCAGACAGGAAATATCTCCCATATTGTTTGTCTCTGGTTCAGCGCTCTTCCCTAACCGGGCATAGTTTCCCAAAATATCAGCATGCGGACAGAAATAGAACATCATTAAACAGGTTCACCCGAGTCACCCGGAGGCAGACATGAAATTCAGGCCAAGGAGTTAGCAGGGGCGATATAGAGCAAGGCAAGACAATACATGGATAGAATCGAGAGAGCTCCCATTATAAAGACATTGGCACACCTGCTATTACAAAGTCAACTCCACCAGCACTATTAAGCAACCATACTGAGCCAATCAACGGCTTTTTTTATGCAATGTCCTGTACACAGAGGGGACTGAACCCTTCTCAGACGTGAAAAGTTTTCGTTCACTTCTTGTTTTGGGGCTGGTTTTTGGTAAAACATTTAACAAAATTATGGCACATCAAAAAGAAACATCCTTCCCAAGTTAAACTCTTGGTGAAAAGAAAAGCACACTTGCCGTGAAATGGCAGATACCGTTGTAATTCTACAACAAGAGGGTTGGATTGGGATGTACCTAACAACACATTGTGATGACACCTCCTGCAAGAGGAACCATGTCTGAATTCAGAACAGAAAATGTGGATCTCTGTGAGGTTTGACGCTTGCGGTATGTCATAATAACAGGGCTCCCGAAATTCCCTTCTTCCTGTGATTCAGTAAAATGATTGGATTTGAGAAATAGCCTCAGTAACATAATTAGTGTTTAATGGTACAATAGTGTCGGGAGCAGATATAAAAATAGTTATCATTGAAACAACAAGAGCGGTACAGTAGGAACCTCTTCTCAGAGTCATCTTGGTTCCCGCCGGAAAGTGAATAAGGCTCCTCTTCTGTTCACAAGCAGTATGTGTTTCAGAAGAAGTGAAGTTCATACTTTTTTTTTCAACATCTTTAAAGATTCACTATTTACACGATAAATAAGTTCTATTCGATTTTGTCCTTTGATTAGTCTTATAGAATTTCTTGACATCATCTTTGAACACGAGTATTTTATGTTCCAAGCCAAAAAGATCAAAAAACCTCTATTATCTTGAGGATACATCCACTATCTGTGGGTACATTTGGCCCCTTGCAATTTCATGTAGATCAATCAGTCACACCGTGGGAGGACCAAGCACAGTTTCCACAACTCCCTTGGGAACGACCACTGACATGAAGGAATCGCCCCTGGTTGCACTGCTCCGATTAATCTGCAGATGATATTTGACACAGCCGTTTCTGAAGTCCTCATTAACTTCACAAGTCAGTGAGTAGCAGTGATTGGCACGGTGACCAAAGGCCTGCAAGTGCAATCAAGTCCAACACTTCAGGCAAGCCTTCTGGAAAAAAAAGGAAACTGTCAGGCAATACCCCCACACGCATACAGTCCATGGGTTCATACGCAGGTTAAAGACAAGTCAACGTGCTGGTTCAACATGCCCCCACTAGACACTGCTGCTCTCTGTAGTGGAGGGTTGATGGGAGCACAAGGCCTTAGCTTTTTTCGGAACCCTGCAAGATGGTGCACTCCAAATTGTCCAGTCGCACATTGACTTTGTTTTAGTTGTCTGTTTGGGGCAGTGAGAGTGGTTTGACCGTCAGTAAAGTGGACCTTAGAATATGTACAATACTTTGCATTCCAATGTTTAACCACATCAAATCCCAATGGTTACCTCTTTAAAGCAAATAGTGAATTGTTCAGCTGGGATATAATCATATACAAAGACCTGCTGTGAAAAGATCCCATGGATGTTCATTGAATCTTATGGAACATACCATTATGTCTCTCCAGAAGTGATTGTGTGGTTGTTGCTGTTCATTGTGTCTCCAAGATCATGAATTACAATAAAATTAATGTTGGGAGGACCAGGTCATTATTATGATAAATATCTCTAAAATGTAAGCTTCACTATCTCACGTGTGTTGGTACTTTGCTAAGCTGTAAAGCAAAGCCCATTTCATTGGAACACAGCACGGGATGTGGTTGAAAATGTGAATGTAAGTTGGCAGGGGCTGGTTTAGAAGACCATTTTAAGAATGCTCTGATATATTTAACAAGAAATGTAAGTAAACTCTTTGGTTTGACATGCACATAATATAAATCAACGTGAAGTCCTACGTCAACAGAAACATAAGAAAACAAGTTTAAAGAAATACAAATGCTATAACATTGTCTTGAGAGAATGACTCATCTTTGTGAAATAAATGATTATTGTATTTGCCTTTTTTTTAACAACTATACAGAGTTAATATTTTAAAACTAATCACAGTAAGAAGCCCCATCCTCTTCACATGATGTCCAGCTCCCATCTCGTTTATGTTTTATGTTACTGCTCCCACTTTCTGGGATGGAGAACTCATGTTTATTGCACTTTCCCTTTTATTCCAGACTTAGTACACGTGGACTGCTGTGAACAGGGGCCCCATGATGGGATATGGCCAAGACCCAGATTTGGAAACAAGGTAATACTTTTTGACATACGCTGGATTACCTCCCATGATTCAGACGTGTTTTATATGGGGTACTTTGGAAAAAACAAAACAAAATGATCTGCAAGGATGTTCCACGCTCTGCTGTATATTAGTGAGACTGTGTGTTTCAGATTCCAAGTCCCTTCAGGCGGAATTAGAAAAGTGTTGTCCTCTAGTTCACATACTCATGTTCTGAGGACAAGGCCCCACTGAATAACCAGCTCACCTGCCCCTTCATTACAAAGTCACGGTGAGTCAGAGGCCCTTGCCCCACTTTCTAACCACCAGATCCGGCTCACTAACGTCCGAATTTGAGTGTGCCGGTGCGTTCGATGGTAGGATAAGACACGCCACTTGGACCTTCAGTCGGAGGTCTGAGGATTGGCGGAGGAGAACGAGGCCCTGGCACGGAGGCACATATGCTGGCGGCAGTGGGCACGGCAGGCAGCGCCACTGTCTGAATGGTGCCCCTATCACACGGCCCCAGGTCATCCAGGCCCTCCAGGCCCTGTGGGGGTCCCTCATAGCCCATGTTGAGCCGCAGGGGTTGATGGGCCTGGCAGTAGTCAACGATAGGCTGTTCATAGCGGTAGAAGGTCAGCGCGCCCAACTGGTGGGGGACCTGTTTAGACGGAGAGCATAGAGGAGAAGGAGAATATGATGGAGTGAAGGGAGAGTGAAGGAAATGTAGAAATAGAAGGGGAAACAAAAGGAGACAGAGAAGAACGTTAGACAAACTAAATCTCAATCAACGTTGTCCCACAAAAGAACAAGAGTATCAAGTGTAGACATTGAACATGTTATTGTTGACTGAAAGAACTGTGCACAGACTGAGTCAGTTTAAAATCAATAGCTAAACTACATAATGCAATATGCTGAGAACCATTGATGACATCTCTTCACTTTTAATTCAAATCCCGGCTGAGCCACCAAATTACATCAAACTCACTGTTTTCGTAATGACTATAGGAAGTTCACTGCTTTCACCAGACTAGATTATGTTCTTGTTCTACTGCCTCTAATAATGGATTGTGTAATGGTTCTGCAAAATGTGTTCAGAGACTAAACATTTGGGTCGAAAAATTATCTTATATCCTCAACAATGGGTGAAGTTACAGTGACTAACCCTAACCCAAACCTGAACCACAAGGTGGAGCACAGCAGTCCATATGGATGTTATGGTGGTATATGATCATCACTCTGCGCAAGTTCGCAGTCAAGGACAGTTGAAAGGCAAAAAAGCAACAACCACAATCCAACTAATTAACAATTTGTTCCTTATTTTTTACCGGACACTTTACATGTTTTTTTTTACATTTAAAAGATGCGCTCACACCACTTAAAAAGGTGTTGGGCTGAATTGCAACATGTTTTACAAGAAACAATTTCCTACATTAATCCAGAAATACATACAAATTAGACCAAATAAAAATGTTCAGTTTCTATACTGACAAATGTAACTACAGTATAGGTCTACTGTAGTTTCTTCTTTTCCGGGGGAAAGAATCTTGTTTAACCAACTTTTTTCAAACAAGCAACAATTATATTGTGGATTTCTTCAAAAAGAAAATGACAACTACTGTACCATAACTAGCCCTGGCAGCTACAACAGTCACAGCTGTTTTCCCTTTCAAATAAATAGTCCATACTTTCAAACGATGTTCCCCTTTTCCAAAGCAGTTAATTTGTCATACAACATTTCAACGGGCCTGTGTGACTCAAAGCCTACAGCACTGTTTGTTTGCCACTAAACGGCTGGCCCTCTGTAATAATCATCTTCACATGGTGAACACCTGAGCCTGTAACTTCCCAAAAAAAACCATTTGCTACATTCCAAAATGTGTTCTGCGATGCATCTGCGACAACCGATTTTTACGGACGTGGGCCCCATTTTACCCTTCTCTTCCTACTGACGACTTGTACTGTAAAGCTCACTGTGACTGTCAGAAGAATACAAATATATGCATTTGCACGTTTAGCTATTCATGTATGAATGACACACAAACCTCCCTGCATACATGACCACCATGTGGGTGTGTTCGACTGTTGCTATGAGAGCTTAAGCAAATAAACCCGTTCTCCCTCTCCAGTGGCATGTCACTTGTGTCACAGCCAGAGGCACTCATCACATCTGGCTATGCATCTGGTCTTGCTTTCCCTCCACCAACCTTAACACAGAACCAAACAAACAGATAAGACTCTTGTGACACTCAGTCTCTCCGACTTTAAATCACACGCTTATACGCCTTAAAAAGGAGGCCAATAACAAGATTTCTAACAGGCCGTGAAAACAGCAGGGTAAGATGGCAGCTGACCTGGATTTAACAACACAGCCTGGAAGAGCGACAGATCATCAGGTCTGTACTAGGGTTGCCAGAAACTGACCATGATCAAAATCGATTATTCGGCAGCCCTGGCGAATAATAATCGATGAATCGACCGACCCCCCCCCCCTCCATTTGCATTTCACTTCCTTTGTACTTATAAGTTCGAAGTAGTTCCACGAGGAGGAACTCTTTTTACCTGCCGCTTTGTTCATCTTTAGTCGCACGTGTGAGGGCGGGTGGGGGTGGGGCGGTGTGAGGGAGGGTGGGGGCGGGGGCGGTGTGAGGGAGGGTGGGTGCGGGGGCGGTGTGTAGCGTGCTGCAGCAGCAGTCTGCTCTGCACGCAGGCTTCCTCCAAGTTTACAGTAAAACAAACTGGTGGTGTGACCAATGGCCATTTACAATTGTTAATACTATTACTATTATTAGCATTAGTCTATATTTTGGTTGAAACTAAGCCAGAAAAAAAAAAAAAAAACATAAATAATAATAAAAAAATATATAAATAAAATCGATTTTTAAAAATAATATTCGATTATGGAGACTGTAACGATTAATCGAATAATCGAATAATTGCTGGCATCCCTAGTCTGTACACACAGGCGACAAGAAACACACAGCAACAGCAGGAGCAGCAGATATGAGAACAACACGGAATGCATGAATAATATAACCCCTGACTCTTGAGGAGGTGTTGGAAGCTGAGCAAGTGTCAAAACTCTGACATCGTTCATGAACATCCCTGACATTTCATTTGAACCTTAACCAGCGATGTTTTTCAAATTTTCAGGTAAACAAGTTATTCACAAGAGAACTTAATTTCCTGAAAAGTAAAATCACTGCGCTCTATTTGCCAAAATACATGTTTTTTCTACTTTTCCCTGATGGTGTCTTGACATGAAGAGGGTTTTGAGGGCCAAGATTCCTTTTTCTGGCACTCTAATAAAAGGTGAACTGGATTGTATTTGTGTTTCCACAAAGCCTTAAAAAAATTATATTGGAAAAAGCTTAAAAGTAAGAAACCATGGTGTAATTAAATAGGTTGTTAATTCAATACATATAAAAGGTAAACCTAATTGTTTTTGCTGCCATGGTTTTGAAAGTGTGCCAGATGTTTTGTAGTGGTTTTGAAAGTGTGCCAGATGTTTTGTAGTGGTTTTGAAAGTGTGCCAGATGTTTTGTAGTTTAACATGCTGGTATCGTGACAAGCTTAGCATACATATAATGGTTTATATTAATTTGCCTTGAATAAATAATCCCTAAAAAACAGTTTGACAGCAGAAATTATACATGCAGAATCTTGAAATAAAGCACAACTGGGTGCAGTGTAGCTTCCACTGGTAATGATATATTTAGTTTAATTTGGTGAACAAAGTAGTTGTAAGGAAGGCAAACAAATGCAATCAGGGAACAAATTAAATTATAATTGTGATTCAATGTAAGCTTTAAATGATGTCTGAGAGAAAAAAAGCATGTACAAGCAAGTGGATTTAGAAGTAAGTTAAACATTGGTCAAAGTAACCCCCGAAAAACCACATCACCAGTATGCTTGTACATGTAATGAACTTATCAAACAACAGCATTCTGTGATAAATCCTGCTTTAGGGAAATTGAAGAGAATTTATGCCAGGGTTTTTTACAAGAGGGCAGACTGTGTCAATGATATGGAGATATATGCTGGCTGGAAGGGGGTGAATAGTGTGTGTTTGTGTGTGTGAGCAAGCAGACATTTCAAAGTCAAATGGAAACATTCTTGGCTAACTCAGTTTGGCAGTTCAGGAATTATCCTAGACCACCAGGCTAAGCTAAAGCCATTCTGAATGCACTAAATCCATTTCTGTTTCAGGCTTCTAAAAACTAGTGGTATTTGTAGCCTTGGGCTTTATGGTAAATGCTACCATGGTGCAGTGCAGCATTACAATTCAGCCACAATTAAGGTGGTTTTCATATAAAACAATACTAAGGTCCTCTTTGTCTAGTTTGGAAAAATGTAGGTCGTAGGAGTTCCATTTTTCATCTTTCAGTCCTCCAACCTTTCTTTCAGCTACAACACACACCTCTGAAGCCACCACCTTTTTTCTTTGCATACCTTCCTCCTTCTCAAATGGACTCCATTAAGCGCGGCTGACTCATTACATTATAGGCACTCTGTGGATTACTCATCCCATTCCCCTTTCGGTTTAAACCCTTCACCAACCCAGAAGCCAACACCACCACCTCATCTCCAGTCCACATCAGCTCTGCTCTTACCTCCCTGCCGAGGTACAACAAATTAATTAACCGATATTAAGTCTGAACCGTTTCAATGCATTCCATAAAATTGTCATGGCTTAAATCTGGCCTCGTGGGGAGTGTGTTTGAATGTGTGATGTCCATAGAAGCCTGAGGAAGAGAAGGGACAGAATAAAATAGTAAAAGAGAAAACATTTTACAAGAGTTTTATACCAGTTTGACATTGTGTCTCTACCTTTTAACATTCAGTGCTGCATGCAACGTTGAAATATGAATATTTATCAGACACCATGCAATTTTGAAAGATGCATAGATATATATTAGTGCTGTCAAAATTATCGCGTTAACGGCGGTAATTAATTTTTTGAATTAATTGCGTTAAAATATTTAACGCATTTAACGCATGTGCAGAATGGCCCGCCCCATACGTGCCACCAGTGGCAGCGCCAGGGTATGGCTGGGGTAGGCTACACCCATACCAAGAAATGGCTTAGCCCCACCATGAAAAATGATGTTAAAGTAAGCAAAATAAAGTCTGCCAACTCGCGCGGAGTAAATTGCACAGACAGCAGTTAGTAAGATTGATTTCAGTAGCCACGGTTTTGAAAACTTTTGTCACGTAGTGATCGTCTTCTCAATAGAACATCTTTGATAACGGCGTGGTGTTGTTGCAGGAAGTCCCGACGGAGAATACTTTTGCTGTAGTACAGGGGTGCACATAACTGGTATGCAGGTTATGTGAGTAATCTGAAATGCGTACCGTCACTTGTGTCACAAAGCGCATTTGCGTACCGACGTACTTGTGAAGCTTTTCCAGAAGGCGGTTAGATCACCGGACGACAGAGTCGGTCTCCGTGTGCACAGACAGGGCTGCTGTTAACGTCGGTCTGTACAACGGAATTGTGCCAAAACTACGCCAACCGGCTGCGGAGGGAGACTCCCCCCCCCCCTTCACTGGAGAACTGAGCTAAAACAGCTGATCACAACGTTCACACTCTGTGGTCAAGAAGTACTCCACTAGCCGCCGCCCCCCCCTCTGTCGACTTTCCTGAAGTACTCCCCCGTT